GTTTGTCCTTGAAGACAAACAACTATACATGCACACAAAACGTATGATGGAAGGTAGGGGATAGGTAATGTTGACTAACACATGTTCTGATTTTATTTCATTTTCTTTTTTGTTTCTTTTCTCTAATTTCTCTCAATTTTTGTTCTGTTCTCCACTACTCTTTAGGACTTTGCAAAGTTCATGCCTGTATTAAGATATCAATTTTTAAAAGAAATAATAACATGTAAGTTGTGTTAGACTATGTGAAACTATTAGAGAAAAAAAAACAGTCTGCTCATATGTACTGAATTAACCTGTTGGTCACACTATTGGATATTGTCATTATTGCCTTCAGCAATAGGTTTGGTAGTTAGGATCAAAAGAGGGGCCCAGTTCGAAAGTTCATAGTGCGAATGAAACAATAACACGATTTACCTGTAAAAGCTCTCAGTCCTTATAAACTGTCACAAATTGATTCGGCAAATTTATAACTGTCTGGTTTAAAAGTTCATGGTGGATAAATGGCCTCACTTGCAACAAATGTAAGCAACACACGACTTTAAAGGTCATTCGCTTAAAAGACAAACCATTTAGATCTTTCTGCTTTTGGACTAGAATTAAGGGCATCCTTGAATTTTACACATGGACATGCGTAACTTTAACCAAGGTCGTGCGTGATTCTTAAAACTCAGAGTATAAAAAGGCAGAACCCCTTGTATATTTTAATTGTAAGTCCAAAAGCAAGATAGATCGTCTGTTTGTATTTTACAGATTATTGGTACCTTCTCGTTGCCAAAGCTTTCTCCACAAAAGATGTAGCCGTATCTACACCATCATAAGTGACACCTTATCTTTAAGAAAGCCGAATCTCTGCTCTCTTTTCCTCTCTGATCAAGATTCAAGGTTTCTCTTAAAGTAGTGATAAATTCCTTCTCATAGCCAGCAATGAGAAGAAGGTTATGATAGAAAACGTCTAAACAACAACAACGAGACTTTTCGTATCATAATACCTGTCAACCCTTGGGTGTTATCTTTCCAGCTCTTCTCCTGTCTGTTTCTCGTCTCTCTCACTGCCATCAGGTTTTCCAGTTATTATTTACCTCCTCTAAGCCATGGATATCATCAGTGATTGTTCTACATCCAATGCTGACATTGGTCTTCCAATATATCGGACATGATCATTTCTCGGTAGATGTTCGCGAGAGTGGATACCTTCTCTCGTCCAATCTTTTATCTGATTTTGTACAAATCTTTAAAAACATTTATTCTTGAGTCTTCAAGAAACCATTATATTTTAAGAATGATGATCGAGGATATTTTAAATATCTGCGATGATTATATATAAAAAATAAATCGTATGGAACTGACATGTCAGTGATTGAATAATAACTGGAATTGACATGTCAGTGATTGAATAGACAGCGGTGTTTCTAAAAAGAATTTGTGTGGAATGAAAAGGGTGCGTCAAAAGAGTTTTTAATTTTTAACTGTGCTGGGAAGAAATTTCAAGCGGAGAAGAGTAAACATATGTGGCCCGTGTTAACCATCTTTATTAACAACTAACTGCTCTTCTTAGAAAAGGATACTAGTAACTTGACTGCCAACTTTTCTATTGGTGTTTGTATAAATCTATGCATGAAAAATAAGATAACAAACACTGCTCGACTCCCTATGTGTCTCCGTTGTATTGAAAGCATGTATATATGAAAAACTAAATAACTCTCATTGCCAGACTCCCTTTGCGTATTTATGATGGCATGCCTGAACCTAACCATGTATGTTGGTGATAACTCTTTATTCCCTTATCAGCTTTGTTTGTAAAGGTAGGTGTTGGATGGTAAAGGATGGTGTTGAAATTAGAAGCAATACAGACCATTGGTGTTGAAATGTAATTAGAAGCAATACAGACCATTGGTGTTGAAATGAAATTAGAAGCAATACAGACCATTGGTGTTGAAATGCAATTAGAGGCAATACAAACCATTGGTGTTGAAATGCAATTAGAAGCAATACAGACCATTCGTGTTGAAATGCAATTAGAAGCAATACAGACCATTGGTGCTGAAATGCAAGTAGAAGCAATACAGACCATTGGTGTTGAAATGAAATTAGAAGCAATACAGACCATTGGTGTTGAAATGCAATTAGAAGCAATACAGACCATTGGTGTTGAAATGAAATTAAAAGCAATACAGATCATTGGTGTTGAAATGCAATTAGAAGCAATACAGACCATTGGTGTTGAAATGCAATTAGAAGCAATACAGACCAATTTCAATAATCCTTTTGGTTGTTCCTTGTGTGGGTCTTTCCACAAGCCTTTTAAATCTGTAGTAAGTTCGCTGTCTTTCATGGTATTTAAATTCATTGATTCTTTTTTATGTTAGATGGTATTAGTTAGTTGAGGGTTACCCTCTATGTTTGTTGATTAGTAAAACAAACCCCATATATTATAATCTACAATTTTTCATGCATTTTTAATTTACACTTTAGAAGTATTTTAACCTGATTCCCCCTGGGGGCAAAAGATGAAAACCAGGGCTCCAGCTTGCACTCAGGCTGGTATGCACCCCTAATGTTCCGTATACCGCTCCACCCCCCACCCCCACTTCCCTGACAGGAATAAAGGCTGAAGATTTATTTTCATAGGTGTTGGACAGGTTATTTATTTATTTATAACAATTACTTCTCCACGTGTTTTTATTGTGGATGTCATAAAATTAGTTATTTCCATTAATCTTTTTCTTAAATTTTGCATCTAGGAATGAAAATCATATTTCTTTGGTTTCTTCCCTTATTTATAATATGTGAAATAAATTTTAATCTATCCTGTTCAGTTTTTTTGCATCGAATTATTGCATGCAATTTTGTATAGTATGTAGTTTTACACATGGGAATTAATTTTACCATATGTCTTCTTATTGTCACTTCTCATATCAACCTGGCATTGTATAAAAATATCAGTTCGATCCATTTATCTTCAAGTGACATAATAAACACGGACCAACATTTACATTCCTCTAAAGGTACAAGAAACCATGTTCTTGGCAAAATAGTAGCAACTTTATCGGATCTTTGTAAGGCTAACACATTTTCCATCAAATTTTCTATATCAGAATTAACTAAAAATATGTAATCAGTTTCTTAAAAGTTGAAAATCATACTAATTTACAGCATTTAAGGGCATTTTGATCAGTATGGACTAAACCACCAGTTGTTGTTACATCAACGATCAAATGTAATATTGAAGACTTTATTGGATCTATTATGATAAGGACTTTATAATCTTTTTTTCATTCCCTGCTATGAGAAGGAAACACTAGTATCTTTAAGAGATGCATTGACCCATGATTAGAGAGAGAGAGAGAGAGAGAGAGAGAGAGAGAGAGAGAGAGAGAGAGAGAGAGAGAGAGAGAGAGAGAGAGAGAGAGAGAGAGAGAGTAGATACGACTACATCTACATCTGGGGAAGCTCTGGCAATGTGGAGGTACATGGAATCTCTGTGAATGATACAGCCTCTTTGAGTTCTGATGAACCAGACTGTTTTTTATTGAAACACTCAACATACAAACTTAGATTCCAATATCAATCTACATAAATTTAAATTACGAATATAAGAGACACCTATAAAACTATGATATTCCTTCAAATACCAATATCATTCATTTGTATAATATCTGCTTTTTGAATATTATACGGATAATTAAATATTTCCAACTAATACCGCAATCAGTACAAGTATATTTTACTGAATTTAATCTAAAATACCAACCTATTAAATCTACTGTTTAGAGAGTATCGCATTTCTGAGTTGGTAGACCCTTTACAATAATCAATTATCTTCAATAATCTTCAAATGATTAAACTTTCCAATACATTATATTAAAGAATAATAATGAAATATTAAAATAATCCAATGTTGCAAATGTACTGATCTTAGACTGAATTCTTACTTTAACATCTTAACATAAAAAATCCTTATACTTTATAGAGAATTGTATGCAGATGGTAGCTTACATGTAAATAATACAAGCCTCTTTGAGTTCTGACGAACCAAACTGATTTTGCCAAACAACTTCCCTGGCTACTTATACACAAGTTTCTTAAGACGCGGCCAAATGATAATACGTTTTAGTTCGTTAGGTATTGCCAGAATCTCAAAGTGAGGCTTCATCATTTTCTTACTGACTACCTTCTGGGTCTATACGTCATCAGAGATTTATCCATGTACATGTGAATAGTTAGCCATATACTCAGGATGAAATCTGCTTTCCCTGCACTATTGCTGTAGAGATGTAATTTTGCCAACTTAAATATTATACAATGTATAAGATCGCACATAGAAAAACATAATCTCTATTGAAATAATACACAATTATATTACAAGAATTAATAACATGTTTATAAATTTTAATACAATTTACTGAAAAATTCCATCCTAACACATGTATAGAATGGTACATCCAAACTAATATTTTTCATTATCTCTCTTTTTTTGGTGTCCTTTCACAGAAAGGTAGCATGATTTCCCTCGGACTGTTGCAACCCTTCTCAGACACAGATAGGTGGCTAGTTAATCTTGCAGTTACCGGATTGCATCTAGACTGGCCCTGGTCAAGCAGACGATCGCCTGATATTGAGGTTATGCCGATATGCTCATTTCTTCACAGTTTGACACATAAAATACAGCTCCATGCACTAAGCAACTGAGGTTTAATTTTTGCCTTTTATATTTCTTACATGTTGGTTTGGGTGTTTCGTAGGGATGTTTCATATTGGATGTGATGTGATTATGATTTTTAACGTAGTTTTAACAATTTTTCAGTCATACCGCTACAATGTCTGCAGTGTGGCAGTTTATAGTGATGTCTAGCACTGGGGCATTATGCCACAGAAATTAGGCATGATGTCCCACCCAGTCACATTATCCTGACACCAGGCCAACCAGTCTTAACATTAACCTCTTAATGCCGAGTGTCAAGTGAGGTAGCTGTTAGTACCATTTTTGTAAGTCTTTGGTATGACTCGACTGGATCGAACCCATGACCTCCCACATCATAGGCGGACGCTCTAACCACTAGGCCACTGGAGCGGTCTGTTTCATATGAGAATTTGGATTATTTTATGATTCTTCATTCATATGAGGTAGCTGTTGAATTGATGAACTGAACATGTAATGTGCAGAGGGGTAGTAAGGGCTGGGTGGATAGTGGACCTGGGGATTTGCTTGAAAAAAGAATATCTGGCTACCAAACAGCTTGAAAAACTATACCCATGCACCAACTTCATTAATCATAGAACTTACACTATTCATCACGTTATATATATATATATATATATATATATATATATATATATATATATATATATATATATATATATATATATATAAAGATAGAGAGATACATGCATGAATGCATGCATATATAGATAGTTCTTTTCAAATTGAATTAATATTTATTGCACAAATATTCCCGACCAATATGGTAAACGAAAGGTTATATTTGTTCAAAGCAATGGGTAGCATTTAAAATGTCTTTTCACTGCCATGAGTGAAAGAAAATATAAACAGCAGTACATTGCATTAAGCATAATTGACTTACATTGCTTTAGTCAAGTGTGATTGAATTGGATGAATCATAAAGATTTAGAATATATAGATTTTATTAAAAAAAAAAGCAATATTGGAATATTTTATCTCTCCCTCTCTCTTATATATATATATATATATATATATATATATATAAATATATATATATATATATATATATATATATATATTTATATATATATAGTAAATTATATTATCAAAATGAATACCACATGTGTGCAGCCCTGAAACGGAATGGGTCTAGGGTGGATGGTGAGTGGAACATTAAACAAGGTGCCCCCTAATCCAAAGTTATTATTGAATGTGGAATTTCTTAATTTTTTTTTAAAGTTGCACCATTGCAGGGTACTTTGTCTTTTAATTTTAAAACATGTCTCTATTATTCTCTAATTTCAATGAATTTAATGTAATTTTAGCATGTTTTGCAATTGTTGTAATTAAGAAGAGGTTGATGAACAAGTGGACCAAACTCTGGAGGTGGTATTACCAGAAAACAAAAAGTGTATGAAGAGTGGAGAAAATAACCCATAAAACAAACAGAAAATCAACATTAGTATATAATCATAACAATAACATGTCATTTATAATTCAGCATTTTCTTTAATACCTGATATTGCAATCAACCTAAGGTATGCAATATTTGTATGTACATCTCCATTTAAAGCTTTGTTAGATTTGAGTGTTTTTTGGTTGATGATGGGGAATCGATGTTGGTAAGATATACTGACCTCAAGGCAGACTCACACAAGCGTTGTTTGATTCACTCGTCAGTGAGATACCTTGTGCATTTCAATTTAGCAGCACTGCACAGGTAAAATAAAAATTGAAGATGATCTGATGTAGCAAAGTAGGAGAACACAGTGATGTATCCATTGTTTTGCATATTATATATTAAATATTTTTGCAGTGGACAACTAATCAGTTTGTGTGATGATGAATACAAGTCCTAGTCTATTGATTACATTCTAGTATTGTCAATCCTGTTTCTATTGATTAGTCTAGTAGTGTCAATATAAGTCCTAGTCTATTGATTAGTCTAGTATTGTCAATCCTGTTTCTATTGATTAGTCTAGTAGTGTCAATATAAGTCCTAGTCTATTGATTAGTCTAGTATTGTCAATCCTGTTTCTATTTGTTGACATGAATATCATGCTAATACAGCACAATGATTGGGGGGGGGTAATTCAGAGTTATGTATTGGAATTTATTTCAGATTGTACAATTTGCACCAGACCAATGAGATTATACTTTTTATTATTATTATTTTTATTATTATTATTATTAATTTTACTTTATTTAAAGATGGTAACACATTTAGCCAAGAATTAATCTACCTTGATACCCTCATTCAAAGGACTTTATTTATTTTAGAATCATCTATGAAGCCACTTGATATACTGGGTTTGGAAAAGGAAATAGAGTGGGCATTTCTAATTTCAATTGGAATACTATTCCAGAGCAAAGTTCCAAAGTATTGGAAACTTTTTAAAAATAATTCCTTATTTGGTTTGGGAATTTTGTAAGGTTTGGTAGACATGGATCACAGGTGGGGAGAATTTCCAGGTAGCTTATACTGGAATAGTGATTGTAAATATTCAGGAGCACTATTATTGGATTTTGAGCTTCATTTTTTCTCCTGATATGAACTCTAAATATTTTCTCTTTGGCAGTTTTTTTTACTTTCAATAGGTAGAAGACAGGATTATCGATCACAAGTTTGGAGTAGGGATTTACAGACCAACTGCAACTTTGCAAACTTACCTGTCACCAGTTATGGTGTATTTTCATGGTGGTGGGTGGTCACTACTTTCAGTGGGTAAGTATACATGTAGTTACCAATATTTAATGTGACCTAACAGACTAAATATATACAGAACAAAAAGGTAGACTTAATTCTTACTGTTTTTGTAAAGTTGGTTATAAAATTCTCCCAAAATCTACTTCCATGCATGTGTGCTTTATTGTTACAATAGTGCAATCATAAGTTAACCAGAAAGTTGGTCACTGAAGATGGTGGGGACTCAAGTTACTACGGGATACATCATTTTTCTTTTTCATCAACAGAGCTCTTCCTTATCCAATGTTGTAGCTATCTGCAACACAACAACGGTGGACAGTTAAAAGTTTTTGTGCATAAACCAATTTAGTCACGATAAATAGATCGAAAGACATGATAACATAGTACACACCATTGTATGTGATAACTCTTGTGATCCTGACATAGGTCAAATCGGATAATAATACATGAAAAAAAACATAAGCTATATTCAGCTTTGGACTGCCTCCCCCTCCCTTCTCAATTAACACATTGGTCTTTGGTATCCAGAACCATCATTGCCAAGGATAGACCATGAAAACTGATAAATCTGATTAAAAGTCTAATACCTACACACTATATAAGTTCCTCTTTTATATCCATAAACTTGAAGATACTGACCATTGTGACTTTGATCCTTTGACCACCAGTTGTAGTGATATCTATACCTTGAGGTACACATCTTTAATATGTCTGCTTACAACTTCATCCACAGAAACAACACAAAACTTGAACCATTTGACATCAGTTACAGGCCATTTAGCCTTGGAAAAGAGTCCCATCTATTTCTCTTTTTTTCTGCCCCCCAATTCCCATGAAGTCTCTTCAAATGAGGTGTCTGGAGTTATGAGGTCGTTCGGGGGTTCTCTGAGCTCAGGACCATCATAAGGGGTGAGCAATACAGGTGACCATCATGTGTGCAAAATCAGGTGGGGGTGGTATGTCATGTTGATGAATTTGTGGTATTTTTACCTGGGAGTTGGGGGAGGTGAAGATGATGCTTTTCTGGGGCACTTTTTTTTCCAGCACAAACTTATGACGTCCCTGCTTGCAATTTCCAGTGTGGGAAAGTTGTCCTGCCCAAATAACAAGCCCTGCCTTATAGAAAAAGGGAAGAGCAGTCTTTACTTGCAGTTCTGGATCACAAATTAAAAGCAAGGTCCCATTAGTGTGAGCCAAGTTCCCTGAACAGAGACCCTCCAGTAAGGTTTACATCTTTCAATAGGTTATGGTTTGATTACAGGTCACCATACTCACAGGGGCTGGTATCATTGCTTACAATTTACCTGTCATACATGTACTGTATAATAACTAGTTATTATATCATACATGTACGACAGGTAAATTGTCAGCATTGATACGAGCCCCTGTGACCATACTGGGATATTAGTCACTAGATTATGTGTCAGGTGACAGTCAGCAAACATTTGTCTCCAGGCACCAGATCACTAAGCCTGTGACACTGGGAAATGTGTATAACGAGACATAGAAAAGTCTCTCACCTGTCATCAGGTACTGGGCAGCAGTTCATCAGGTATTGGACACAGACATTAGACAAGAACACAAGTCACTGAGTGATGTCTCATGTGTCATACACGGAGTTTCTGTCACTGGTTAGCAAGCACTGCATACAGGGGACGGGGATATGGTCACTGAGTATGGTGCCAAACAATGCATCAGCATTTGGTCTCAGGGCACTATTACCAGTTGCCAAACACAAAGCAGTGGGTGACAAGCACTGACTGAATTTATATATACATTGGCTCTCAGACAATTGTCTTTAGATTGGGTACTGAATTTTGACCAATGGTTGAGATGATGGGGTAGATAACCCACCTTTCTCTATTTTTATCATTGAATCCATATGGGGAAAGGACTGGTCTGGGTGAAGGGATCAGGAAAACACTCCTCTTTTTCAATATTCAGTATTATTCAACAATTTCATGCTGGGAGACATTCAGTATTATTAAAAATATTTCATTCTGGGAGACATTCAGTATTATTCAGAAATTTCATGATGGGAGATATTCAGTATTATTCATCAATTTTATGCTGGGAGACATTCAATATTATTCAACATTTCCATGCTGGGAGACATACAATATTATTCAACAATTTCATGAGAGACATTCAATATTATTCAATAATTTCATGCTGGGAGACATTCAATATTATTCAACAATTCCATGCTGAGAGACTTTCAATATTATTCAACAATTCCATGCTGGGAGACATTCAATATTATTCAACAATTCCATGCTGAGGACATTCAATATTATTCAACAATTCCATGCTGGGAGACATTCAGTATTATTCAACAATTTCATGTTGGGAGACATTCAATATTAGTCAACAATTCCTTGCTGGGAGACATTCAGTATTATTCAACAATTTCATGTTGGGAGACATTCAATATTATTCAACAATTCCATGCTGGGAGACATTCAGTATTATTCAACAATTCCATGCTGGGAGACATTCAATATTATTCAACAATTCCATGCTGGGAGACATTCAATATTATTCAACAATTCCATGCTGGGAGACATTCAATATTATTCAACAATTCCATGCTGGGAGACATTTAATATTATTCAACAATTCCATGCTGGGAGACATTCAATATTATTTAACAATTTCATGTTGGGAGACATTCAATATTATT